TATATATATACATATACACTGCGCGCGTTTACAATAATCCGGTGCTACTCTTCCGTGATTTCGCGAGAAAATAATTATCCCGTGCTCCTGTCCACAACTCGTACGCACGTATTAAATACCACAGTTTGTGCCGAAAGGGGGGAAAAAAAAGAAGAACCCGCTTTTTGCGTCAAAAGTACATCGGCAGTACTCGCGAACAATCAATTTTCACCACGAGCGCCGGACGGACAAAAAAGCCTCCATCATCATTTTAATAAAGCAGCTAGCAATCGGGTAGTATTAGCGTAACGATCAAGCACTCGTAAACCCGTTTGGCAAACTTGTCTAACGAAGGCGCGACGAGGAAAGAAAAGAAAAACAAAAGGCTGGAGAGTGATCGCATATATACATAACAAGATCGAGGTCTGATCATCGAGTGGGGCGATAAATTAGCTTCGGAAATCGGTAGCAATGACAGGTGCCGATAGCGAAAGCGGCCTGTTAAGTGGCGCGTGTGGCTTGACATTATGTATTACGTGCCGTAACAGCTCTTTGAAAAAAAAAAAAAAAAAAAAAAAAAACAAGCCGAGCAATAGAGAGCTTCCAGTTGAATTTGTTTGCCGATTTATCGGCGTGACACGCGCAACAGCTACTATACGGCTGTTCCGCGATCGTTAATGGCACACGTTTTGTTTATCGCGCTTAAATTATTCATTATTGTAACTGATTGGAGATATTTGCGAAAATCGTTAATTTCAGGGGACAGTGCTATGCTTGAAATTTCGTTGCGCTATGCCATTTATTGTGATTGCAACGAATGGTGCACTGGATTTATCGTATCACCGTTGGAAATAAAAAAAAAAAAAAAAAAAAAAAAAAAAAAAAAAAAAAAAAAACAAGCACCTACAAATTAATGTCAACGAATTTATTAAAATTAGCAGCTCAACAGTGTCGGGCGTGCCTAACATCTGCATGTATTTATAATGCAGATGCGCCACCAAGGCAGCAGTGCAGTACCGCGCAAAGAAGAGACAAAAGAGTAGGCGGCAGTAGCCGGGACCGCCGATCATTATAGTTATACACATGTAGGTATATATACCTATGTATAAGCGTGTAGTGTTTTGTAAGTCAATCGCGAGTTGGCGTATAGGTTTATACTACGATACCACTACTCGGCGCAGGTGGTGCATGCGTTAGGCGTTAGTACAATGCTTCGGAGATTTATCACCGGTGGTATATCATATCAAGCGTTTATGCTCTCTCTCTCCTCCTTTCCTTTTTGGTGCTCGCGTGAGAGCGTTGTTTATAAATATGTATATATATATGCGTACGAGAAATATTCCGTGCGTGGCAACCGATCGCGAATTTAAGAGCAGAGAGGAAAAACAAGTTTGTTCTCTCTCGCATCGCGGAAGCTCATGAGTACCCGTAAAATACTCGTAAAACGAATTTCGCGATATAAAAGTGGCGAGGAGGGATAGGGGGGAGATACGAATGCACAAGTATGACATAATATCCCAAAAATTGAGCCATGCAAAAGTAAGTAGCGAGCGCAAATAACGTAAATAACGGTGCACGATATAAATAAAAGTCGACCGATTGATAATCCCTGAGCAGTGAATGATCGTGGCGCGATCGGAAGCCCATATATATGTATATATGTATATAATGTGCATAGGTATCGATAATAACATTTCCTCGGGTACGCATCGCGGAGGTCCAGCCGTAAATTAGGGAGAGAGACGCGCCGGCGGGTTTCACCTGCAGCAAAAGATATGTATACGCGTATTCGCGACGCCCAACGAGTTTAATGATTGTTTAATGGCGGTGGCTGTCGTAAATCATATACATGTATATACATGCGTACAGGTACATTCGAGCCGAGTGTAATATTGCCATTATTATTGCCTGGGCCAGTTTCTCTTTTCTTGTACCGGTGTGTGTGTGTGTGTGTGTGTGTGCGCGCGCCCGCGTTGCTTGTATTCATCTTTTGTGGGAGCAAAATCAAAGAGTGGGTGGGGTACTTGTGCTGCATGCGGAGGGAACAACAGTACAAGAGCTAGTGCTGCAGCTACATATACGCTACACGCACGTGTGGACGAGGCGAGCTATGAGTTATGACTCGGTGTGACGTTGCATGGCTGTTCCTCGCTCGTCGATGCATATGGGGTGTTGGGTGGTGTAAATTCATGCACACCGAACAATATATAAGTATCGGTGTAGTCATGTGAATCCGGCCGAGTTTTATAAGTTTTCATAAATAATCTTGACGAAATTTTGCGTCATGTCAAGTCGCGCGAAAACGATATATATATATATATAATTTCACACAGCTTACCTCCAAGATGAACCATATCTGATCGTACTCCGTTTTTTTACCGGATGACTTTCTGTAGACCCCATAGAATTCCGGTAGATTGGGGTGGGTTGAAAAGTCACGGAGGACTCGGTACTCCTCTACTATGAGGGGCTGCGTCTCAGGGGTCAACTTTTGTATTTTAATGGCGACCTTTTTACCTGTTGTAAGAGACAGAGCGTATGATCATCAGATGATGGACTCTATTACATATATGTACATACACGCGAGTCTGAAAGCATATTTATATACTCGATCGTTTGCGCGTGTACAATATATACCTATATAATTTATGGCCGAGTGCTGGACTGTATAAATTACTCGAGCCTATTACGTCTGGTTATGCTGGATGTAATGAATGTACTCATAAAATTAAATTTAAATGGCATTTGCGTTTTAAAAGCCTTGGCAGTTGATACTGTGGACAATGTCAAATAAAACGACGCAATGGTATACTATCGGTTTTGGTCGACGCAATTGTACTCATATAAATAGTGAATAGAGCAGGAGATGGGGCTCGCGAGGAGCTGACCGTGGATTACCAAGTGCTTACCGGCCTCTTCGTCGACGGCCTCGTACACGTCGGCGCAGACCCCGCTGCCGATGCGGTCCCGTAGCGTGAATCTTTTCCCGGGATCTTTGATGCTGTCCAGCCTCTGGACCTTGCGCCCGTCACCACCGCCCCGGTCCCTGCTTCCGCCGCGATCTCGCTCACCACCACCACCACCACCCCTGCTTCTGCTACGATCGCGCTTGTACACGTCCTCCTCCTCCTCTTCCTCGGCCTTCCTGGCCCTGCCCCGTCTCCCGTACTCGCTCATGCTCCGACGATTGGCCGCTTATGTTGCGGTTACGTAGGTATATTTTACCTGAAACATATAAATATATAATTGTACCCCGTCCCGTTTGTACTTCCCACTGATTATCACATACCTATAACAACAATTGTTAAAGACTTTACGCGACAACAATGGCATTCGAATTAAAAATATACTGCACCTACATTCGATGTCATGGATTTCCATCGCAATAAGTTTTCTTGTGTCGATTGACCAAGGTAATTATTCGATCTTTACGTGGATGCACGTGGAGTTTTACTTTGTTTGAGCTCGAGTATAATATATACCTATCGAGTCAATGAGGAGTTCTCTTCTTCTTCTTAGAAGATGAAGTGCCCTTCCACGTACCGCAGTGATGTATACTTGGCACTCGATACCTCAAAGCCAAGTGCTAATTAACTTATTCATTCGTACCTAATGAGACACGTAAAATAAGTACCTACGTGTACCTATATCTATGTATGTGTATATACCATGTGCACCCCTTATAATGTATTCCCAAGTGTAGACTTGCTCTCGGCGCTTGTCTGTATAAATTCATACCCATGCACATCCTCGTATTTTGTACAATACTTGTAGGTACTCGAGTGATGCGGCTTGCACGGACGCTTGGACAAGGCTCACCACATTGATCAAATGTCGATTCAGCAAGTTTATCCATTTGTGTACGCTTGCGTGTTTTTTGAAACGAATGACACATTTTTGAAAATATATTACCTAGCAGTAAAAAATTGCCTCGCTATGATAATTACTTCGTGCTCGATAGATTTGCTATGTACGAGTACATGTACAACCACAAAGATTTAAACCATACCCACGCAAAGAAGATGATGCTGCACTTGTAAGGTTTTGCAAGCCATCGGTAGCACTGGCAGAATCAGCCATATACTCATATATACACCCTTGTTTATGTATTACCAACTAATGCACGTAAACACACGTAGGTATACTTACATTGATTATATATACACACATGTCGCTTTTATCGGACCTTTGAAATTGCATAAGTAGGTATACATTTTGCGACGTAATAGGCGAGGCCTTCACGTAGGATGCGCATGTATCTAGATTGCTGCAAATTCAAATTGCGGTTGGTATATTATTCAAATACACCTGATGCGAATATGAAAGAAAGCGACTGCTCATGTAGGCCGACTGATACTAGAGAATTGTTGTGAGCTCTTTGTTTTTGTAGATTCAAACAACGATTGGGAAAACAATGAATTTTCATTGAAAAATAATATATACGCACACTATGGGAGGGGGGGGGGGCACCTTGTAGTAATTTTGCACATTTTTGTATCTCCAATCCAGTAAGTATAGTTCATGCGTTTGCGTGTGAAGCTACTTGATTTCTCAGAGACAAGTAATCGGTACGTGTACAGATATCGGATCTACCCAACTTGGTGGTTTATAAAAAAAAAATCTTAAAATTCAGTGGCTTGTCATTGTTGTTTTAATGTACCTGAATCCTCTCAATCGTTAATCATTCAATTAGAATCAAGCGATGTCCAAAGAATGTACTTCAGAAAAAAAAATAAATCGTACGAAGCGTGACAAATGACCATCCGGCGGTGGTGATGGTTAATGAGAAACCAATCAATTTCCAATTTCAACGGAAAGTTTGCGGTGAAAAAAATTTTCTAGAAAAGGGAAAAGGAGTAACAATTAAAAAAAAAAAAAAAAAAAAAAAAGAGGAAAAAAGCTCCGTGTGCAGAGTCGACCTCAATATCTTTCCCATCGCTTCTGATTAAAATCAGAGAGAGAGAGAGAGAGAGAGAGAGAGAGAGAGAGCACGGGAGCCGAGGGAGTAGAAAAAGCGGATGCACATGAAAAAGCTGGGAGAGCCCGAGCATCGGAGACACGTCCATGCGGAGAACAAGAGGAATAAGAATAAGGAAGAGGAGAAGTTTCGCGCAGGCGCTTATTCGCATAAATTGGATCAATTCGAAGGGCTGGCAGTAGCATCAGCAGCTCGCGCGCGCGACACTTTGCTCCGTGTCCGTTCGCCATGTACTGAGTAACCCTATATTATGTATACCACCCACTTACGTACGATAAGTATAGCGAGTTAGCGGCCGTTCGGTCCCATACTGCGCGTAAGCTGTCGGCCCTTTTTTTCCCCTTCTCCTCCTCCAGACTGCACTGGCTGCTCTGCAAAGGGTGTTGGAGTTCATCGATCGGCCGAGGCTGTTTGGAATATAGATGGATTTTTTGCCTCCCCTCGGAAACCCCTCCCTCTCCCTTTTCCCGAGCCCAGCCTTCCCAGAAGTCGCGCGCGCTTCTGACAAGAAGCTGCGGTATGGTAGCCGCGTATATATACTTATGTGGTATACATAGCTCACCTCCTTATGATGGCAGTTGACGCTGTTACACGTGTTGGTTGACGCGCGGAGCACCTTGCGCGCCTCTCATCCTCGACTGGACTCCTGATGTACGGCTGCATCAGCAGCAGACTTTTTTTTTTACCTCTTGGTGCCACTTGATGAAGCTGAATATTGAGAGGAGCTTTTTTGCCCGCATACATGTACGAGCGCAGTAGCCCGTGAAGCAGTCCGATCGCCGGGATATCGGATTGCCGTACGTTAAATTAAAATTTTGTTTTTTTTTCTCTCTCGAATCCTTTCCCTGCCTATACACCCCATCGTTTTTTTTTATTTTTATCATTTGCCCGGGAATTCGCGAGGAAGGCACAAAAATTCTAAGCGTGAAATTGCAAAATGTTAATGTCAGGACAGGTGGGATGCGGTATTTATTTTTTCCGCGCTTAGTACAATCCGGTCTCCCTGCTTTTTCCTCGTCTCTCTTGCGTCAGTTGTTATATTATTATGTATTTACCACATTCACACAATATATCGACAACAAACACTCGAGTGTAGCCGCTGCTGCTGTTTTTCTTGTTTACTCTTTCCAGCTCTATGATCGTTATCTTGCGTAATCAGATTAATGGACGAACATTTAAGCTTGTTAATGATTAAGCTTATTGCTGATATTTGAGCTTCGCTCTCTGTTTTTTTGTTTTTTTGTTTTTTTCTTTTTTTTGCTGCCATTTACTCATTTACATGTTTTTATAGACAAGAAAAATAAATTAATTCCTTCAATGAAACGATTCCGTAACCTTTCCCATCGAATTAATCATATTCGAGTCACTAATACGTATGCAACTGTGGCTGCCCATAATGTTTTATCATATATCACTGAGCAACCCAATTCTTAGAATCAAAGAAAATTTCTTTACTCTCATTCCGTTAAATATTTTCTTTTAATTGAAACAAATTTAGTCGATCCAAAAAAACATTTCGTACAACTCAATGAGAAATTCGTAGTTAAAAAAAGAAAATTTTAATTTAATAAAATATTATTTTCAATTAACTTATATTTTTTTACTCACTAGAAAATATTTAACGGAATGAGGGTAAAGAAATTTTCTTTGATTCAAAGAATTGTGTTGCTCAGTGTACTAATTTTATAACTGCATCAAATTTCTTAGGAATCGGCTTTACGTTGTAGATATGTTATTTACGATTGAAAATTTTTTTTTATTTTACAATTAACTAAAATTTTGTTGGGCATATCATCGTACAAACTGCATATAAACTGCAAAAATCAGATGCTGCTGAAGAATAAAACGAATCAAAGTTTTCGCACCTCATAAATTGAACTGAGGAGAATTACATGTATACAGCACAATACATCAGTTAACTGTGCGAGTCAACTCTTGGAAAATTCATTGCGTTTGACGGTTACTTTAACGAGACCACCGTAAGCCCAATAAAAAATTTTAGGTGTAAAATTAACTCAAAATCAATGTATACACGAAATAATGAACAAAAATAGAAGTCTACCTATATGTACTCAGTAGTAACAGAGTAGAGCTGAAAAACAATCTACAGCCAGCAATAGCCCAAACTCATAATCGATGAATGTAAAAACCATGAGATTTCCCGAAACGCAGCGTCAATTCGCTCCAAGCCGATAATATTACCAAACGTGCTTACCCGCGGGTCGGAGATGGCTGGATACTGCAGGTACCACGACCCATCAACTTCATAACGACCGAGGCTACGTATTAGCTGTTTTTGGCGCGACATAAATTAATATCCGCCGATCGGCAGGGGCGCGCTTCCTACTTCTCGGCTTAGGTGGAGCGACTCGCGGGGTGCCAAATTATTCACGAAGATGGCGAAAATACGACAAGGGTGAGAGAGAGAGAGAGAGAGAGGAAAAACGCGTTTTTGCCGCAGGTATAGGTACGCGGCGGTCGCGCCACCGCCGAAACGCAGGATTCCCTCGGCCAGCGAGAGTTGCAGAGCCGTGTGGGAAAGTTGGCGCGGATCGCGCTCGTATAAGTATACCGGGAAGGAGCAAGAGCCTGTCCGCTTCGGGTTCGGCTTTTTTACCACCTCCCCCCCGTGCACTGGGAGCAGTGGAGTCGACTCTCTGTCCGCAGGCGTATCCATTTGAATCGGATCGCGAATTCGCCGCGTGCCTTGGATGTGCCGTATACCTCATCCCACTCGAGTATCAATTCCGCACTCGATCGGAATATTCGATTACTCGGAAAGAGTTGGACGCTTTTCACGGAACGAGAACCCGCTGCACCCTCGTTCGTTGCTCATAATATCTACTTACGTACTCTTTGCGCGTTTATAGATGAGATATAACGTGTCCGCGAGAGAGTGGAATCCGGTTAAAAGCCAAAGTCGAAGGAACCGCACCTGCTATGAGCCGACACGCACCACATAACATCATATTATATATTTATTATGTACATTATATTCCAGTGGTTGTCGTGTGAGTAGACTAACGTAATAATGTTATATGTCGTGTAGGGGTATAATACCTTATACCTATACCTACCGCCAAAATTCAATATTGTGAGGCGAAGGGCAGGTGAAAACTAAACAAGTATTATTACCGATACTCAAGGCGCTTTAAAGTTATGGTACTTCCTAGCTCGCACGGATAATTACATAAATATGTAAACGCGCGACAGCAATGGGAGCAAGAGTGACTCGAGAGGAAACCACGAACCTATTGATAACCTGTAGAGTTATACGTTACAAGGGATTCCTGACTCTTTACGAGGATTCGGGATGAATTGATGGTACGAGTATAGCCGTGAACGATCGACTTTCTCGAAGGGCATGCAACAGTAACACTCACACATGCACGCATCGACTCAATGACGAGTCGGTAAAGTTTCTTCTTACCAGAGTAATTTTTTTTTTTTTTTTTTTTTTTCTAGCTATACTCTTCCGATTCTTTTCGAAGGCTCGTCGTGGTTTCGAGACCATACTTCTTTTAGGTTAAAAAAAAGGGATTTACGACGATTCGTCGACAATGGGTACATTGTGAAACGTCTTGAGACGAATGAAAAATTTTTTCATCCCCGAGCTTTAGAGGGTGGAAAATCTGTTGCGAAACCACGATTGTTCACCGCGCCTGAACATCTGTTATGTGCGTAAGAATTGCATGGAGACCTTAAAACCCTGGATGCATCAGAACACGACACATGTGGTGAAATGACGAAAAATTGGCGAAAAGAGTGGCACTTGGGATGTACATGAATATAATAGCATAGGACGAGAGCTAGAGTTGTTGGTACTTACCTTTTTTAATTAAGACGTCTGCTTGTCCACGTACGTGGTGAGTGGCGTGGCAGCACACGTGAGCCCCCGCGAGAGAATAATAATACGAGATTGAGATGGAAAAACGAGAAAAAACTAGGTAGCAGTGGTTGCCTCCGAGTTCTCCTCGGCGACACCGCGACGGGCACGGGAGAAGGAGGGTGATAAGGTGGCCCCGACGACGACGGCGCTGCTCTCGTTCTATTCTCTCGGCTTTTTCCACCTCCGACTCTTGAAGCCGACTGACTCTAGCTCTGGCCGACCAGCTAGCTTAGCTTCCTGCCTCAGCTACCACGGCTTCCATCATCCAATAAGGCCGACTTAATTAACTAACTGCTAGCTCGCAAGCCTGTTAGCTCATTGATTTGCCTCCCTTTCTTTCTTTACATTTTTGCCCTTTGCTCGCTTTTACTCTGTCTTTGCTTTCTACAGGGTACCAACTATTGTGTACCTACGACATCAATGTTTTCAATATTTGTACAACGCATACATAGGTACTGCGCACACGAGGAATCCGTAACACTTATTTATAAGGAACGTTTAAAAGTCCTTACCACATAGAAATATAGGTACGTAAAATAAACATTTTTCAAACATTTTTATTTATCAATCTACGCTTGATAATTTTCTGAAAGATTACACTGAATTTGATGCTGAATATAATTTTCACTTTTCTTGGAATTTTTAAGTAAGATGATACCATTATATTATTACCGTCTGTTGCGTTGCTTCAATTTCTGAATAATTATTGTTTCAGTAGCGAATATGCCTGTCGTGAAGTTTCAGTTTATCGTCACTGTAATATTAAGTATTATTAAGATTTTGAAATATATCGATGCCTCGGTCAAAGAAAGCGTTAGCTCAAAATTGCCTTCCAGCAAGGGCCAACTCATATTAAGGTTAAACGTTTGGCCAAGACGTTAGTGTTTTCTCTTTTTACTGCAGAGCACAGCTGCAAAGAAAAATATCAAAAATTTTTAACGGAAAAAATTCGTAGATATTTTAACATTGTTTGGAATATAGGTATTAGGGGTACGCCTGCTATAAACTTTAAAATCTATATTTTGCGTCTCAAAATAGTACAAAACATGAAATGCCCAAATCTCCGAAAACAATGGAGATATAGCGAAAACGAAATATTTTGACATCAAACAAATTATAAAATTTATTTATTATAATATTTAGCTGTTTAGAGCTCACAAAATTTTTCAAAATATTACTAGATACGCTTATATCATTTATAATAGGTACTACGTCTTATGTAATGACTTATTGAGCTAAGGCTTCACTATAACATGAAAATTTTTCGCCGANAGTCGAGGTTGTGCGAGCAGCCGCATATCTATTTATACTTTCAACGCCTGTATCTCCGTAAATAATGGTGACATCGCAAAAAGTACGGTATTTAAATTTAAGTAAATTTAGATAATTTTTTTGTTTAAATGATTCGATATTTGATACTAACCGACTTTTCAGAAATTTTTTTGATACTTTACTTATTGTTCGTAATATGTATTACATCCATTATAAACACCCCCATAGCAAAGGCCTTACTTTTAAATCCATATTTGTTTGAAAAATATATTTAAAACTTCGATGGACAGATTTCATGGCTGGCATTTCTAAACATTCTAGAAATTATTCTGGATATTTTAATACCGTTTCGAATAGGTATTTAGTCTGTTATAAGCACCCATGAATTAAAGGTTTCACACATTAATATTTTTTGCCTAATAATTGTGTAAAACTTTAAAGCCCGTATCTTCGTAAGTAATTGGTCACTGTTAAAAACTGTTAACTTTGAAATAGAAAAATTCAGTCAAAAACTGAACAAGTTACATACGGTTTTACGTAAGTTATATTTGACACAATTTTCTTAATAGAATTACACAAATCTTGTATACTTCAGCTTTATGCTATCTATAGTCACACACCAACTTTTTTATTTATAAATATTATTTTAAGTAAGAAGATACGCAAAACGTTTTACATTTAATTTGTGTAAGTGAATTACAAAAATTGTTTATTCAGGTGGTTTTCACGTTGTAGTATATTTTGGCTTTGCCACGAAATTGCATTGATATTAATTCTTTATTCATCTTTTTTATTTTTCAAAGTTTCACTCATTAATTATGTGGTGTTTATGAAAAATTTAGGTACATTATTTAGGTGCTTTTTAGAGAAATGTTCTTATACTTGCACTATAATTTATGTAACAGATGTACTTCAAATCGATTTAAGTATTGAAACGGAAGTAGACGAGGCCGCTAAAACACGTGCAGAGTAAGGTCATTCCGGATATTGTATTAAGGTTATTTGAGATGTTGGTTAAAATTTTATTGTGTAAAGGGCATTGCGTAGAGATTTCGGGTGCAGGAGTGGTCCCCTACTATTTCATGAATGACCTTACTCCGCACGTATTTCAGCGGCCACGTTTACTTCTGTTTCAGTACTTAACTCGATTTTAAGTACATGATAAATCGTCCAAATTGCCGATGGGCTGTAGTAGCCATGTACATTATAGGTAAAACCGATTTCTATGTGCCTCCAATATGTCAGTCAGTATACCAGTAGGTACAGACGTAGCACTTTGATACGAAAGCTTTTAACTTGACCTGCAGTTGATCTAATTTTTACTTCACTGGGCGCTCGCACGATTCGCAGGGCCTGTAGAGTCAGTCAGACGGCCGAGCTCTCTGCGAGGTTCTTTAATCCGATCTCACGATATCATTGTTGTTAATCTACTTGTTCCACTTTCTGGACTATAAGTTCACTTTGTTTGTGCTTGCATTTTTTTTTTCTTACCAGCTAAATTACTCAGCTACTGTCTTAAGTTATTCCGACTAACTTTGACCACACAGGCATGCACACGGGTAGTGTGTATATATGATGTAAGCGTACAGTCACGTTTTCAGCAGCTGATATGTAAAGATTATCGAGATACAAACAACTCTCGGATCAGTGAGTATACTACTAAGTTTATACTTATTGCGTCCTTCCTCGTATACTTACTTGATGTAGGTATATATTAATAACCATCTAACAATGCCTTTTTTTGTTGTTTCGATGTATATTATATATACTTACGGGGTTGCGAATCACTGCCATTCATTGCGGTCGACAAAAAGATCCGCTACTACTCGTTTGATGATTAACAAATCGATGAGTCGCCCAAAATTAGCACGTCACTTTTTTCTGCGCATGGACTGGTTCCCGCGCTTTAATTAGGAATTTCAAATAAAGAGTCCCTCGCACCCTCCCGTTACTTGCGCGAATCTCTCGTCGATTCTCCTCGGATCGGCTCGACGAGTTTAATTCACGTAAGAAAAAAACTCTGGGACGGGGGGGGGGGGGGGTTGGCTTGTATAGATTTGTCGGTGGTAATCGATCGGCCAATGAATAACTTGTAATTAACGGGTACGTATTATTGTTGTCACGGTGACTGTTTTTCTTCTGTATTTCTCTTTGTTGTTAAACCAGTAAAGGTATAGGTTGAAAGAAAAAGCGAGTAACTCGGTGGGACTGGAAAACGGAGCCTAATAAAAATGTGTTCGCGCGTCGGCGAGTCTCGGGTCGCGGGTACACATACAACATGCCCTTTCCCGGTGAGATTGATGCGCAAAAGACGAATCGCCGATGGCTCGATAAACCGTGTAGCCATCACACTTTGGTCTCCTCGACTAAATCAGAGCCAATGGGAGACACATGTGTTGAAAGACGTGGAGTTGCGGGGCCCTCGATGAATAAATATATATACGCGGAATGCCGTCGTGACAATGATATTCAGCACGCGAGAGCTGATGAAAAACGAGACGGGAATAAGTAATGGGACCAGTGTCAACCCTTCCTCCTTCTTCTCTTTTCCACGCGCTTGCCAATCAAAGTCCAGGGAGAGCACGCGCGGGAACCTTTCACGCTGTGCATCCGATGTTTGTTTTATTTAACTCTCTCTCTCTCTCTCCCTGTCTTTCTCGTCTCTCAGTGGAGATTTAATTCATACTGCTTAAAACAGGACAATGAGAATTACGCCCAACAGCAGCCTCCTTTCTGTATACGCTTATCAGCTTTACAACATTGCTACTCGGCCGGTTGTTTTACTAGCTGTGCTGAATGTATCTTTTTTTTTTTTTTTTTTTTTTTTTTTTTTTTTTTTTTTTTTTTTTTTTTTTTTTTCCTCTCGACTTTCCTCAAAGTGCCTACTAGTACTTACGTACTTTCCGTCGAGTCGCAGTTTCCACAAACCAGGAACGACGAAATATCGGCTGTGGAAAAGAAAAATTCGTAGAAACAGAGGTTGATGCATTGAATCGACAGTGACGACGTATAAAGGAACTCTCTTTATTGTACGCTTATAATACACACTTGTGCAGCAGCTTTTTTTTTCCTTTTTCATTCATCTCACCGATGCCGCACAAGACACACGAGATTATTTTTTTTCCTTCTAGTAATACTGCGGTAGAATCATGCTATTACAATAACTATCATTATTATTATCATTATTATTGTTGTTATTATTATTATCATTATTAATGTAGTATTACAATCAGCGAGAAAATACAAAAATGTGTAACATTGTATGCATAATACATATACGGTTTGTCATTGCGTATATACACATATATGTGGGATTTATTGAATTATTATATTGTATTACAAATAAATTACAAGCCGACAAAGTTGCGGCTTACGAATTGTTACGGTACCACGCTATCAGCTACGTGTACAACTATTTATAATTGCTTCGTATTGTTTTGTGATTTACTAATTTTTATTCGGATGATTACTAACGCTAGCTACGCCGACCCGCCCTAGTGTCTATACGTAGATCGATTTATCTCGATATTGATTTATTGAAGTAGGTACATATTTATACAATCCGAATGTATTCCGCAATCACTGCGCATTCGTCACTTTTTCGTGATATTATTGTAATACTTATGTCGCATAAAAATCTGTCAGTCACATTAATTTAAAGTAGACGTGAGCGCCTAGCGCTCAATAATTGATTGGTCCGTACGAACGGACTTGAAGCTCTTTTACACATTTTCACACGTATGACACAATAAAAGTCGATAATTGAACCCAGTAGCGCTACGTTACAAGCACGACTCCCAATCATCCGTCCGACGCCTGTTGTCTAAAATTGTTTTAATTTGTTTTTGTAAATTTGGTTTTTTTTTTAATTGAGCAGTACTTACCCTAAATCTGTGTTACAAGTAATTGGAAGTCATATTTGGTGAAACAATGTGAATTTAAAGTGTAGGTTTGGCTCAAATCAATTAATTAATTACGTATGAGGATACGTTTATTTCACCCCTAATGATGTAAGGATGATGTTGTTATTAGTAAAAAAAAATTAAAAATTTTGTAATTAATTATCATTAGATTTTCCCAAGGATTGCACTATTTAAATCATCAAAAATGTGAACCAAAAAAAAAGAAAAAAAAAAATTGTATCAGTCCTATCTCCGTTTGCTATTAAATCGAAACGTTAGTAATATCAAAACTGAAGTAATTCTTGGAATAATAATTTAGATTGAAATCTTCTCTTTTTAACTAACTAAAATGTTGTCTGTTGATGTTATCATAAAAGTAATTTTTTTCGCCCATGATTCCCAAACGAATCATCGAAGAAAACATGGTTCCTGTAAGCATTGAGTTTAATAATAATAATAGTTAAAACAAAAGTTTTAACATTCTTGTTCAACCGAAATCGATGCTGCCGTTATGTTATTAGCACTCGTAAAAACACAGATGCAATGCAACTGAGTACACGGAGCAGTAAATTGGATACTTTCTTGTATGAAATCAAGAGATCGTGATGTAGAATTGGACCAATATTTAACAGTTACACGAATGATCGGTGGTCAAGTGAAGGAAATTTTCTATTTTTATATACTACCATGGGTTGCCATTTAAACCGCGTGTGAAACGTGATGTTATTACTGGTGCGCTTGTTTGTAATATGGAATTAGACATACATGTCAGTCCAGAGGGGTACCATGATGATTAAAAAGAATTGATTTTCCTTAATTCGGTAACCAATAATTTGAGTACACAGAAAGATTTACTTTTAAAAAATTGGTCCAGTTTTTTTGCCACGACCTCCCGGTTCGACACTACATTGGTCGGCGGTAGAACTGAGGTACGGCTGCTCGTACGGGCTCGAATCTTGTTTTTTTTTTTTTTTTGCTTTTTTTTCTTCTAAAACCTGTGCTTTGCGGCTGGTGCTAACGAAGGTTTCTCTGCAGCATTACGTAGAGTGCCCTTTTAAGACTGCTCTTCGAGCCACCCTTATCAGATAAATTTAGGATTATTTTGGGAGAGATGGGAAACAAGGACATCATCACCTTTGTTGGTCCGCGACATAAAGACTATAAATAAATTAGGGAACAAAAAAAAAAAACTCAAAGCATCTCGGAGATTATTACTTTGTCATCATTCGTTACGTGACCGGTAAATGTCCAGGTGAAAGTTATGGGAAAAAAAAAAAGAATCGGAGGTAAAATCGTTTCTTTGTCGTCTCGCAATGCACCAAACAACAAAGAGAACATAATATTTATACGAATGGTGGATCTGAATCGGCATAGTCGGGACGCTCACTTGCACACGGTGATCCACTCCTCGACGGTGCAGTTCTGGCACTGCACGAAGCAACACCAGTGGAACTTGCAGCCGCATCTCTCGACCCTGCGCTGGCGCACGACGTTGTAGCCCCGTCCGCAGCAGAGGGAAGCGCAGCCGTCGCCCCCCGCGCTGGGCCGGTTACACCTGCGCCCCGAGGTCCCCGCAATATCCGACTGGGGATCCCGTTCGCAAAAGTTGGGCGACTTTTGGTAAAAGAACAGCTGGCTCGCCAAGTTCTGGGCCTTCCGGCCCTTTCTCCCCTGCCCCCGGCCCCTCGAAACCCCCGATCTGGCGACCGCCGCGCCGTTGGCCCCACCGGGGGAGTTTGGGGAGGCCGAGTTCCTCCGATGCTGCTTGCGCTGCTGTCGTTGCCGCCGTCGGCGCTGCTGGTTGCGCTCGGCCCTACCGCCACCTCCCCCGGCGTTGCCGCCCCCTCGCCTGCGGGAGCCGCCCCGGGCTCTGTTGAGCGGCGTCACGTTGCCAAAGTTGCTCTGGACGACGGCCACCGCGTTGCGGAAGCGGTTCTTCAGGGTGCGCCCGACTATTCGGAAATCCGGCACGACCTTCCAGCAGGTCTTGAGCTCGCACGAGCCCGACATCCCGTGGCACTTGCACCGCATCTGCATGTTGCTCGCCACCGCCTGAAATTCAAATTTTTTTTTTTTACACGAGATGGCCAGGGACACCCACACCCAGTCTAACGTGACCACCCCCCCCCCTCACCCTCCTCGTTCACTTTAGGAAAACGGACGGCCGGATGCGAGTAAAGGGGGTGGGGGAAGAGTACCGAATCCAAAGCCCTGTACAAACAGGTAGATTGGCGGTGCGGCGGAGGGAGCAATGAGAAAGGGAATTTCTTTTTGGACACAGAGGTGTCGCGTACAAAACAGTTAATGAGTCTACGGCTGGGTGGTCCAGCCCTGGGCTTCGTCTTAATAACGTCGGGTTGAGAGAGAGAGAGAGAGAAAGAGAGAGCCGGGAGTGCGACCGTGGAGAGTTAAAAGAATAATATACCTACGTACGAGGCAGGAGAAGAATGAGCTCGAGCTGGGGAGGTGGTCCCTCGCGTCTTTCTCTCTTTTTTTTTCCGGCCGCAAGAGACGCAACGTTACAGTAGGCTCACGAGGAGGGGAAGATGGGCGCACGCGTCGGAAACGCGGGGCTATTCATCTACGGGCAACTGCGCTTCCGAGCTTTTTTTCGTGGAAAATTAATCGACTGATGAGCGAGTACGCAATTATATATTTATATGTACACCGTTTCGAGGATGTATGATTATTATCACACCATTTGAGTTTTAATTGTAACAACATGATTATTGATTGTACATATTACAATGTGAGGGCTCATTAAGACCCGTGTCCCGATGATTTATTCGAAAGGAGTGCACGTAAATTATGAATTCGGAGTGCGAGGCTCATTAGTAGGTAAGGTATGATTTATTTATTGTTATTATTATTATTATTTTTTTTTTTTTTCTACGCACCCAACGAAACTTTTGTAGGCATGATGATGATCTTTTTCGTTGATTGGGATCGTAAAGTACGACGACGGTAAGTGGTTGGGGGCGCATTAAAAAAGTTAAAACACATGAAGGGCTTACGTGGCGGCCGGCTTGATTGTTGTGCAGATTGACGGTGGACTGAATGTCGCCGGCGACCTCGCGGGCGTCTAGGAACTGTTTCGAGAACTCCATGCCGAAGTCGAGGTTGTGCGAGCAGCCGCCCCATTTCCACTGGGTACCGCCGGAACCGGGTTTCGCCGTTTTGCCCGTGTAGCTCGAGGGGTCGCAGCCGCAGGATATCAATCTGCCCATACTGCAAGCTCGGGACACGCTGTGCGCCACTCCGGCCGACGCAATAGCATACACGAAGCCAGTCTCCCTGTAACCTGTGAATCATATGATATGAGATTATGGTCCACTAAACCTGTGTTAATTGCACCCTTATGGGGTCACGAGTCTAGGCTAATACGGACCATGGGCCCTTAGCTCAAATGAATACTAATATACTTTATACCCATGAGATTAGAGTGTATGTATGGAAGGGAAAAAAGAGAACCAACATTTTGTTGTACATAAAAAAATTATAATACATAAGCACGAGTCTCGATGGAACGCTAGTCTCCCCGTGTTGTTTCACTGCGTCGCTCGTGAGGACATCGATCCACGATACCTCCTGTTTCTCCTTGAGAAAAGCGGGTATGCACTTACTTACTTGATCCGTTGATTATTGCAGCGTTCATTATTCAAGCAGACGCGCGTGCAGGAGGCACGTTAGAGAATTTCGTCTCTGTATAAAGCGACGCTCCGAGGGAGGGAGTAGCTGTGCTCTGCTTTATAATGCAGATGGCTGTGGAGAGACTCCCGACAGCACCGGCGGACGCGCGTAATAAATTGTGTGCTTCCCGCTGCTGTCTCCGTTATTGCTCTCTTTAGATGCGTCGTTTGTTTTTATCGGCTCTTTGATGCTTCTACAATTCACTCTCACCCCTCCTCTCTCTCTCTCTCTGTACTGCATCAGTTTCCGAGGCAATGAACGTCTCGTAGAGACAAACGTAAAGACTCTAACCAACTCGAGGGGAGCGGGTACAGGGATTCCTTTTATCTTTACTGGAAACTGCGAGCTTTGTTAGGCGTCGGTATGGGTAATCCAAAAAAGCCCCCAAAAGCTCTTCCATGGAGAGGTTGGTATAGGGCAGGACGGTATATTGCTGCCAGGAGCTGACAGCTGTAGTGCGTTTGGTCACGCGATGTACCCACTACATTGGCTTTGGTGTCTTTTCCACTATTCGATAACCACCAGGTGTTACAACTGCCCCATCCCTCTCTTTTTTTTTTTTTTTTTTTTTTTTTCTCCTCCGAAAGTCCAAGACAGTTTTGTTGGTCGCCTCCTCCCGCTCGAGGTGCAGAATCATCGGCCATAATCGGGATTACTGTATGAGCACAGCAGCCTGCATCTGCGAAAGAGACATAGGAATTCCGAAAGAGATGTCGGACGGCGATTCGATGCGCCCGATTTTGAGTACATATTTCGCTCTTTCAGCGGTGCATGGAGAAAGCCGAATTTCTCCGAAGACTGCCTGCCCTCACTCTTTGGTCTGTAATATGCCGTGAGATGCGTCGTGAAAAGCCGGAACGAAACGATAAGAGTGACGCTTGATCATTGAGCCGATTTTCGACTACGTGGGTGTGTGGTTGGAAATAAGTCGCACAGTGGGTATTGGGTAGGCCGCCCTCTTGCCTTGAAAAACATATGTGTTTTTGTACTTTGGTTGTGATTATTCGTGAATGAAGAAAAAACAATCCACCATTCGCTTTTTCCGTGCAGCAAAGGGCTTAAAATTTAAGTACAATGCTCGTTGTGCACGCACGTGGAGTAAAGTAAGCGAGGCGCATGTATAATATGTTTTTCACCCTCGACGCGTACAACAGACTCTGCAAAGTGTATACATACGTATTATGCAGGGTACAACAAACACACGACCTACCTACTCGTACTTCTAAATAGTATAAAGGATAAAGGAGCACGCGGGTGCAGCATCATTTCTTATCCCGAAAGAAAGGGGGAATCAGGTCAAGTTTTGCACAAAAAGATGATTAATTTATACATATACCGAGGATCGGAGGCACGTTGAGCGGTTTATATATACTTACTCGGCACGCACGGAGAGTTAATACGGACGCGTTAAGTAATAATAATGTAACAAATACCCACACACGTGAATGTACGAGCCTCGCGCATGTAATGACTTGATTAAAAGTTTGTGGATAGGTACACGTGCACGTGCGAATAAATAAATAATTACCTCTCTGGAGGATGACGCTGCTGTGCTGGGTGACGCTGCTGGGCGTGAGCGAGGAACAGTTCCACCTGTGCCACATGAATTGGTGCTGGCACTCGGCCACAGCCATTTGGAGGCCTTTGATCGCCGCTACGGTCACGTCCGGGTTACGCTGGCAGAGCTCGCGCTGCTCCTTCGTCAGGCCCGGTATGCCGTTGCACACCACCGCGTTACTGCTCACCCACTCGTCCACCGAATTGCTCATCAGGCCGCTCGCTCTGCAACCACAAATTTATATACATATATTATATACTATACCATATTATTGATTTACTGCGTACGTACACTGATGTGCGTGAGCGCCAAGGTCGGAGCTGGATGTGTATAGGTATGTCTACATACTAGCCAAAATCGATCGGGAGATCGGTTTCCCACGCGACAGGTGAACGAGGGGGACGATCGACGCTTTGAGCGACTACATTTGTGGTATACCTACGGGACCCATCGGGGACAGAATTCCCCGGCTTTCGGGCTGAATTCCTCGCGGGCCGAAAAGCTCCTGCTTGTTATCGGATTCCCCGATCGCGACGCCGAACCCGAATTGATGCGCTGGCCCCAAAATTGGCGCATTAATTTGCTCTATCGCCATATATTTTTATTGTTGGTAGGTATATAATAATGATGGTGATGGTGGGGTCGAATCTGAAATAAGTCTGGGAATCGGTGATTTATCGTCCCTCCGTTTTTTACGTGGGCAGGTAGGTCTCGTAAAACTCGAGCTAGAATGTTGGTTGTCATGTCATCGAGTACCGGGAAGGCATACCTCAATGGTGTTTAGGTGCCGATTTACATACATGTATATATACATATATTTTTTTTATATTTACGTAACACGTTAGAAGGGATCGTTGTAATCGTGATTAAGCAGCTCACGCTGAAATGTGGATAACTAGCGATGAGTAAGACCTATCTTTTTTTTTTTTTTTTTTCAGCAACGCGTACGGTACTATTATACTCGGGGGACTTGGCTTCGTGGCTCTATTTATATTTACCGCTCAAGCAGAATAAAACGAAGGTCTAACTTTTATTAAGCAGCATTTAAACGACGCTCAAGATTATGCAAGCGAGGACAGAGTGCTCTTTGATAATGTCCATACACCTTTTGATGTCAGTCTATCGGATATTGATTGTATACATTACACTTATTCTTAAAGATGGCATCAGCAACACATCTGACACAGTAGATTATATTTTTTGGGTAGGAAAATCAGGTCAGAATAAAAATTTACACAAAAAGTTAATCATTTGAATTAGTCGGCTTTGGCTTTAATTGATAATTACCTTGTTACTTTTGTTTTTGACCCGATTTTGTGACTCCAATGAACTGGCATAATCGTGTGCTCCCAGAAACAGATTTTTTTTTTTTTTTTTTTTTTTTTTTAATTATTAATCTTATGCTAATTTACGAAGGATATCACTGTATAAAGAAGCATAAAGAAGCTTTTTTGACATCTTGAAAAGTGTGGTAATTGAAAAAGCCGAATTAATAAATTATTTAACCCTGAAGAGTAGAAAATTCAAAATGCATATAATATATAATATAGGTATGGCACAAATAGAAGGGTAATGAAATTTAAACAGGAGATAAATTGAAAGCTCGCGCTAATCAAATTAATTTTCTAATTACATTGCCATACAAAATGATGAAATGCGCAAACAAGATAAACTTGGAATTCTATAGTTACTCGCCAATTAGTGGGGAAAAATGAAAGACGTGTATTACACAAGTTTCACGAAATAAGTAGCTACTTCAGCGTAAATCAGTACACGCTGCGCGTGTCTTACCTAATCACAGCCATTACTACTTACAGACGATCCATTCGTGCCGCGTAATTTTTAATTTACTGATGCAGTACTGCGACGCACTCCATCGCAACTTGTTTTCATCAATTGGTATAAAGAATGGTAAATATTTCGTAAAGATCGGACAGTTATCGGGAAACACCGCGCAGAAACTAAGGACGATAGTTTCAATGGGCTCATCGATCAATCTTGCGAATAAATTTCTGTGGAAAATGTGGGAAAATCTAAGTCTGCGATAAATTACTGTACCTAGGCATCAAACAAAGCCCGTGCGTCAGTGAATCAACAGTCACAGGTACACTCTGTTCGTCACAAGAATTACCAAAAGAGGGTAGCTGCAGCAGGGGAGGCCACACAAAAACCAGAATCGTGAATTTCAGGCGCGACGGAGTTTTTTATTTGCCGTGTAAAAGTTAGTCGAGGTATGCATGCGCATAGAAGTGTGGGCGAGAGAAGAGGATGCCGGAGTCAGGTCCTTCGATGTGGGAAAATAGTACTTTCTTTCTTAGTTGCCTAGTTGCTCCGTGCATATCCGTAAGAACAGCTACTTGATGTGGGAGGTGGAATTCGTTACCGTGTACTAGTAAATGGCCAACTGAGTTTCATTAAGTGTACATATATTATTTTGCAATGCCCTCGCGTGCAGTGGCATACGGACAAAATCACATCTTAGGAAAAATACGAAAAGTATACCACTTGAACACTCGTTGCTTATTTTTCATGTCTCTCCCCGATGTCAATTGATGTATCACACTATAACATTATACTACAGCTTACAAATCATTGTATGGTTCAATTGTTAATTGGATCTGTTGTGAGTGTGGTTTATGGATCTTTAACGCCCGGCGACTTGTATGAAACCATCTTACGTTCTGCCCATTCACCCTATGCTCAAAAAATCATGGCATTACTTCATTCGATAACAGAAACAGGTATTTATCAATATTGGGGAAAAATCACTTTGAAAAAAACTTTTAGGGAACAAGATGTATACACTTAGATTTTAATGCAGATAAAACAAATAATATTCTTAAGTCTCATTATGGTAACAAAATCATTCCTAACAGATCAAACATTGAAATCAGTCCAATTAATATTTATAGATTACTAAATATACTGTTAGTAGGCTTTTATGTTTGTACCTTGGTTTTTATTTATGAGCGATTCGAAAAGAACAATCTAAAGTTCTAGTAAAAGATGATATTAATCCAATGATATAT